AGCTTGGTCGACGTGAGGGCCTGAAGTTAGATAGTGACCCTGGTTCTACAGGAAGCTGACTGAGGGGAGCTGTCTGCCAAAGCTCTGTCTGGTATCATTGGAGGGTTTCACTTGGAAGATTGGAAAAAGGCAACCATTCTATCCTTGGGCCTTGTGAATACAAACATTGAGGAATTTGGAGACCTCGTGTGCTTGCTACCTCCCCTGGTGCTTGGCAGTCAGAGTGGCTCTGAAAAGGAAAGAGAGAACTGGCCAGTGTTCTGAAGAGCTTGCCTGGTTGCTACTGCAAAGGACTTTGCTCAGCTAAGTTACCTTTGGGCTGTCGCAGTCTGTTGTAACTGGCTTGTACCTAAGAAGCTCAGCCCTGTAACTACTACCACTGCAAAAAGGGACTTTGCTCACTCCTAAAGTAATTGCTGCTACAAATTAAAGGGAGATCTGCTATCTGCTTCAGCCAAGACTTCAAAAGATTGCTCAACGAAGAGATCAGCTAGATCTCCACAGTGTGAATAGTTCTGATTTTAGAGTATCCTACTACATTCCCCATCCCTATCCCCAGTTATACAATAATTACTCCAAAAACAAACATCCCTTAGACTGGACATTGGAGACAATGAGCAGGTGTGTGTGTATCTGGCTGCGAGAAATACCTGGTGCCTTGCTGCGGGGTGAAGAAGGGGGAAGACCTGGGCAAAAATACAAGCAACCCTCACAAGGGTGGTGCTACATGTGCATCTGGCTGACATTCATTTCACAGAAGACAATTCTTCACTTTGTGGACTTTGAAAACTTGGGACTTTCTTTGTTGCACACTTGGTGGTTCATTTGCTGTTTGTTTCATTCCCTTCATTATGAAATATGTATTTTTGTCACAAAACACTGTTTATTGTTTAGTATTTTCACTGATGATCATTTAAAGGGATAGCATGCCTTATTTGATGTTGAATATTTGATTTAAGATCTGATGTCCGGACTGAGAGTGCCCCAGTCCCATGTTAGTGTTGGTTTATTTTGCACCTTAGGTTTTTTTTTTTTGTGTTTATTTTTAAAACAATTATGATAGACAATTTGTGGCTAATAGAAATTTGAGATGTTTTCTATATCAAAGCCAAATATAAAGTACTCTCATGATGGAACGTCATCCTGAAATGTTACACATGATGAATGATTAGTGCATTATGTTTTCCTATTCATGGTCAGGCAGGCTGATCCGAACAGATGTCCTAGGACAATTTTACAAATAAACTTTCTTGGATCATGATTAACCGCTTCCCGAACGCCCTATAGGAGAAGTACTGCTACACGGTGGCAAGCATGCTCAAAATTTTGTCTTTCCGGGTAGGTGGCGCGCGCGCCCCTACCATGCCACTATTGGCTCCTCAGCATGTCAATTTGTGGAAAAAAGGCATAAATTTAATTTGCATGACCTCGCAATTGTCAGTTAAAGTAACGCAGTGCCATATTGCAAAAAATGGCCTGGTCAAGTAAGGGGGGTAAATCCTCTGGAGGGCAAGTGGTTAATGAGGAATTTTCTAGTATACTAACAGATAGACAAGCACATTTAGCAGATCAGGGAACCATGGCTCACATACATTTACTAGAAGAGATAAGCAATACCAATAAACACGCTGCAACCAGTGATAGGTAATAATAGTTTGCCTTCAGCTGATAACTTATATCCTACTTTTCCACTCTTATATGGGCTTCTTATATCTCCTCCCTCTCTATGGAGTCAGCCTCCTATTGCTACATGAGGTATTGCTGCCACTCACTTTTCTTTCACCTTCAATTCTCCTTGTAGCTGAACATTTTATTAATTCATTTTTTTATCACATCTTTAGGACAATTAAGATGCCACATGGTGTTTCCATACAATGATTTTCCTACATTTCTAGGATTTATATAGATTTTCTGTGCAATGAAAATTCACAGATCAACATGATTCTATTTCCTATGCTTGGTACATCCAATGCTTATTGCTATGTTTATGGACAACCAATAACAATATGATAGTATAAGAAACTGCTTCCTATATCAGCCTTTCTTAACAAGGATGCCCAGACACCCTGGGGTGCCTTGATGTTTCTTCAGGGGTTCCCTTGGCAAAATGTCTAAACATTGCCCAAAAACTGTGTACAAGCCAGCGGATGGATCAAGCCTGCCTTTTAGTTCCACAAAACCACGGATTTTCATTGTGCACCATTACAACCTTCTAGCCACCAACATCCTAACAACCAACAATGCCATCAGTTGATATGGAGGATGTCTGTCGCCTTCACGCCATCCTTGTTGCACTCTCCTCTGCCCCTCTCTATCAGTAATGGGGGCAAATTAGATGAGTGATAGTGTCAGGGCTCCCGGGTATGACCAGAGGTGTGTGACTGACGCAGGGAAATGCAGACTTCAGATATGTTATAAACAATATAATTTATTAACACTAACAATACAAACATAAACGCAGTGCAATACTAAAACATAACACAGTGCAAACAAACCAAACCAACCACCCACAGATAACAGTACATACAATGCAAGCGTCGTCAGGCAGGCCGGGTCAATATCAATCGGGCAGGTAGGTACAGGGGAAGCAAGCGGAGAATGGTCGGGGTCACAAGCCAGGTTCAGCAGGTAGCGGGCAGCGTGGTACAGAGGGTCAAGCAGAGGAGAATGGTCAGACAAGCCAGGGATCAGGAGCAGGAGAATGGTCAGACAAAGCCAGGGATCAGAGCAGGGTCAGCAACGAATCAGACAGGAACAGGAACAGGAACAGGGAGCAGGAACAGGATACAGGGCCCAGGAGAAACACACACCAAGGCAGAGTCTGCAGGTCTGGCCATCCCTTAAATACACCAGTATAATCAGTTCCAGGTGTTTGACTGGCTGCAAGGTTGAGTCTCTGATTGCTGGGAGCACCCGCTGGCCAGCCCTGGTACTGCAGCCCCCCCTCAAGGAGCGGCCTCAGGACGCTCCAAACAGTTCTAGCTGGGCAAAATGTTCCACCGCCCGGCACACCGGGCAGGACTCCGGCAGCGGCCCATCGGGCAGCGGCACACCGGGCAGAACTCCGGGCAGAGGCACATCGGGCAGCGGCACACCGGGCAGAGGCACATCGGGCTGGACTCCGGGCAGCGGCACATCGGGCTGGACTCCGGGCGGAGGCACATCGGGCTGGACTCCGGGCGGAGGGGCACATCCGGGCACATCGGGCATGGACTCCGGGCGGAGGCACATCGGGCTGGACTCCGGGCGGAGGCACATCGGGCTGGACTGGGCGGAGGCACATCGGGCTGGACTCCGGGCGGAGGCACATCGGGCTCGGGACTCCGGGCGGAGGCACATCGGGCTGGACTCCGGGCGGAGGCACATCGGGCTGGACTCCGGGCGGAGGCACATCGGATCACCAGGCGAAGCAGCAGGCAGCGGGCCACCAGGCGGAGCAGCAGCAGCCCCGGGCCCCCAGGCGGAGCAGCAGGCACCGGGCCCCCCACAGCGGGGCACAGGCATCGGGCCCCCAGATGGGGCGACAGGCATCGGGCCCCCAGACGGGGCGACAGGCATCGGGCCCCCCAGACGGGGCGACAGGCATCGGGCCCCCAGGCGGAGCGGCGGGCGCCGGGCCCCCAGGAGGGGCGACAGGCATCGGGCCCCCAGACGGGGCGACAGGCATCGGGCACCCAGACGGGGCGACAGGCATCGGGCCCCCAGACGGGGCGACAGGCATCGGGCCCCCAGGCGGAGCGGGCGGGCGCCGGGCCCCCAGGAGGGGCGACAGGCATCGGGCCCCCAGACGGGGCGACAGGCATCGGGCCCCCAGGCGGGGCGACAGGTATCGGGCCCCCAGGCGGGGCGACAGGCATCGGACCCCCAGGCGGAGCGACAGGTCTCGGGCCCCCAGGCGGAGCGGCGGGCGCCGGACCCCCAGGCGGAGCAGCAGGCCCCGGGCCCCCAGGCGGAGCAGCAGGCACCGGGCCCACAGGCGGGGCGCGACAGGCATCGGGCACCCAGACGGGGCGACAGGCATCGGGCCCCCAGATGGGGCGACAGGCATCGGGCCCCCAGGCGGAGCGGCGGGCGCCGGGCCCCCAGGAGGGGCGACAGGCATCGGGCCCCCGGACGGGGCGACAGGCATCGGGCCCCCCCCAGGCGGGGCGACAGGCATCGGGCCCCCAGGCGGGGCGACAGGCATCGGACCCCAGGCGGAGCGAGAGGTCTTGGGCCCCCAGGCGGAGCGGCGGGCGCCGGACCCCCAGGCGGAGTGACAGGTCTCGGGCCCCCAGGCGGAGCGGCGGGCGCCGGACCCCCAGGCGGAGCGACAGGTCTTGGACCCACAGGCGGGGCGGTGGGCGCCGGACCCCCAGGCAGAGCGACAGGTCTCGGGCCCCCAGGCGGAGCCCCAGGCGGAGCGACAGGTCTCGGGCCCCCCAGGCGGAGCGGCAGGCGCCGGACCCCTAGGCGGAGCGACAGGTCTCGGGCCCCCAGGCGGAGCGGCGGGGCGCCAGACCCCCCCCAGGCGGAGCGACAGGTCTCGGGCCCCCAGGTGGAGCGGCGGGCGCCGGACCCCCAGGCGGAGCGACAGGCACCGGTCACCAGGCATGACAGTGGGCTCCGAGTCAACTTGCATGACCGCTGGCACTGGGTCAGACAATGGATCGTCTGGCTGGACAGCGGGGGTATCGGGTCACCAGGCATCAGGTCACTTGGCTCGACAGCGGGCACCGCGTCATCTGGCAAGGCAGTGGGCTCCGAGTCAACTGGCATGACCGCGGGCACTGGGTCAGACATTGGATCGTCTGGCTGGACAGCGGGCATCGGGTCACCAGGCTCAGGTCATTTGGCTCGACAGCGGGCACCGCGTCATCTGGCAAGGCAGTGGGCTCCGAGTCAACTGGCACGACAGTGGGCTCTGACTCAATTGGCACGACAGCGGGCACCGGGTCATCAGGTACCGGATTGTCTGGCTCGACAGCGGGCATCGGGTCACCAGGTATGACAGCGGGCACTGGGTCACCAGGCATCAGGTCATTTGGCTTGCCAGCGAGCACCGCGTCATCTGGCAAGGCAGTGGGCACCGGGTCACCAGGCATTGGATCGTCTGGCTCGACAGCAGGCATCGGGTCACCAGGTATGACAGCGGGCACTGGGTCACCAGGCATCAGGTCATTTGGCTCGCCAGCGGGCACCGCGTCATCTGGCAAGGCAGTGGGCACCGAGTCACCAGGTACGACAGCGGGCTCTGAGTCAATTGGCACGACAGCGGGCACCGGATCAGGTACCAGATCATCTGGATCAACAGCGGGCATCGAGTCAACTGGCCTAATAGGATCATCAGGCTGGATCAGTTCATCATGCTGTGTAGAGGCATCAGGGCTGAGTGGAGGCATCGGGCTGAGTGGAGGCATCGGGCTGAGTGGAGGCATCGGCTGAAGACAGGCATCGGGCTGAAGACAGGCATCAGGCTGAAGACAGGCATCAGGCTGGGTACAGACCTCAGGCTGAAGTGCGGGTGCCGAGGCACCAGGCTGAACCACGGAAGGCAGGTTCTCAGACGGCAGGCTCACCGGTTTGGATACTGGCAGGATGGTATTGGTTGGAAAGAATTTTCGCTTTTTTCTGGTTTTAACTACTGGAGCACTGCAAGTAAACTCAGGTCTGCAAACGAATGGAGCAGCTGGAGACAGAGAAGAGCTGGAGGATGGAACAGAGGAGGGAGCAGTTGCTACAGAGGGCTTTTTTACAGGGTTAAAGGCAGGATAGGTGCAGCGAGTGGGAACAGGGTACTGACATGCGGTAGATAGCAGGGCAGGAGGAGCTGTTGGGGATGCAGGCAGAATAGAGCTTTGAGGAAATAGATTAGAAGCAGGACTGGGTTTTTGTAGGCTGACTGAGGCTGGGTGTAACAAGTCTGTCCATGTCTGCAGTATGGGTTGAACAAAGCTGAGCTTACACAAAGCCTGTCTGACCAAAGACTGCACTACGTTTATACAATCTCTTAGTGTCTGTGGTGAACATGCAGCATAATGCTCCAAGAAGCAATCCACATCATCCTCTAATAACCATACCAGGGACTCTACCTGGTCGGCACTAAATGGCGGCAAAAATTCATCCCTGCATTCGGGGGTACCAGATGAAACCAACTCCGCACAAATCTGAATCAATGGCTGCACCTCAGAGAATTCTGTGCCCTGATCTACTAGAACATGAGCGATCCGTATACATTCTAGCAGTTCATCCCGGGGATACTCCTTCAGAGTCTGATAAGCATACTCTCTGTCATCAAACACTAGCAGATATAAATACACAACCTCATCAAGATCCATCCTTCCCATCAACAAACCAAGATGGCTTCCCTGTGCAGCCACTTCTGGTCAGGATTGGCCTTGGTGTAATGTCAGGGCTCCCGAGTATGACCAGAGGTGTGTGACTGACGCAGGGAAACGCAGGCTTCAGATATGTTATAAACAATATAATTTATTAACACTAACAATACAAACATAAACGCAGTGCAATACTAAAACATAACACAGTGCAAACAAACCAACCAACCACCCACAGATAACAGTATATACAATGCAAGCGTCGTCAGGCAGGCCGGGTCAATATCAATCGGGCAGGTAGGTACAGGGGAAGCAAGCGGAGAATGGTCGGGGTCACAAGCCAGGTTCAGCAGGTAGCGGGCAGCGTGGTACAGAGGGTCAGGCAGAGGAGAATGGTCAGACAAGCCAGGGATCAGGAGCAGGAGAATGGTCAGACAAAGCCAGGGATCAGAGCAGGGTCAGCAACGAATCAGACAAGAACAGGAACAGGAACAGGGAGCAGGAACAGGATACAGGGCCCAGGAGAAACACACACCAAGGCAGAGTCTGCAGGTCTGGCCATCCCTTAAATACACCAGTATAATCAGTTCCAGGTGTTTGACTGGCTGCAAGGTTGAGTCTCTGATTGCTGGGAGCACCCGCTGGCCAGCCCTGGTACTGCAGCCCATAAGGCAGGCGAGTCCCACCATTGCTGGCCAGTCCATTCCTGACAGATAGAGAGAAACTGAGGGAGAGAAGAAACATTGGAATACTATTCAGTACCAGTGTGCAAAAGTGTATCCCCAGGTCCATTCGCTGACAAACTCAAGTAGACTTCATCTCCGCAACATCTCCAAAATACGTCCGTTCCTAACCCCGGAAACCACTAAGCAACTCATTCACTCCCTCATTATATCACGACTTGACTACTGTAACTCCCTCCTCATCGACTTACCTCACCGCAGGATATCCCCGCTTCATTCTGTCTTGAATGCTGTGGCCAGACTCATCCACCTTACTAACCGATCCGTATCCGCCCCCTCTCTGCCAATCCCTCCACTGGCTCCTGATTGCCCAACGGATAAAAGTCAAAATGCTAACATTGACTTATAAAGCTGTTCATAACACTGCCCCAAACTACATCACCGATCTGGTATGCAAATACCACCCAAAGCGTACTCTCTGCTCCTCACAAGACCTCCTACTCTCTAGTTCCCTGGTCTCCTCCTCCCATGCCCATCTCCAGGACTTCTCCAGGGCCTCCCCCATCCTCTGGAACTCCGTACCCCAATCCATCAGACTATCACCTACTCTCCTCACCTTTAGGCACACTCTGAAAACATATCTCTTTAGGGAAGCCTACCCCACCCTCAGCTAATTACTGAACTCCTCCACTCTGCCTACCACTCCATCCCCCACAGCTATTTCCTCCTGTAGCACTATCCCCTCCCTCCTAGATTGTAAGCTCCAAGGAGCAGGGCCCTCGAACCCCTCGTGTATTGAATTGTATTGTTACTGTACTGTCTCATGTACTGTCTCCCATTATCATGTACAGCGCTGAGCAAACTGTTGGCGCTATATAAATCCTGTAGAATAATAATATAATAATTTGTTTTTGAAGAATAAAATAATATTTTTACATTTTAGAATGGGGTGTCTTGAGACTGTCCATAATTTAAAGGTCTCCTCAAGATTTTTCATAACTTTATAGAGTGTCTTGACTGAATAAACGGTTGAGTACCACTGTCCCATATATTGAATATAATACACCTTTTATAATATTGCATTAATAATAATTTAAAGAACTGAAAAATAAAATGTTACTTTATCTAGCATGTATATTTTTCCTGTTATAGAAGGAATACAAATTTGTTTTTGAATGTTCTTGCTTTAAAATTTTACCATATACAACATTAACCAGAATCTAGAAATATTACCCAATATTACACTGGGATTTCATGTAATAGATTCATATTTATATACTAGTATGGCAGTAAGGAATATTCTAAGCATGTTATCTGGTCCTCAGAACATAGTACCTAATTCCTCATGTTCTGGAGAAGACAGATTGGTGGGTTATATTGGAGATCACTTTTCAATGACAGTTATTCCAATGGCACAAATACTGGGGATCTATGGATGTGCACAGCTAGGGTCTACTACTACATGAAGTTTGGAGGTCTTTAGCTAGTTGCTCTGGAGACAGTTGGTGACTTCTGCACACTGTGCTCTTCAGCATGCGCTGACCCCGCTCTGTGAGTTGCTGTTGTTCCCAGTTGCTTCCACTTTGTTATAATCCCACTAACAGTTGAGCGTGGAATATTTAGTAGCCAGGAAATGTCATGGATGGACTTATTGCACAGGTGGTAAACTATCACAGTACTATGCTTGGAGTCACTGAGCTCCTGAGAGCGACCCATTCTTTCACAAATGTTTGTAGAAGCAGTCTGCATGCCTAGGCGCTTGATTTTATACACCTGTGGCCATGGAGAGGATTGGAACACCTAAGTCCAATGATTTGGAGGGGTGTCTTAATACTTTTGGCAATATAGTGTAGTTGTAATGCATGTACTCTACCTGCTGTTTATAATATTTATGTTGCTTATCATCAGAATAATTCAAGAATTCACTGAAGATGTCAAACCAACCAAACATTTGATTTTGAATTATCCCACATATGGGTGAAGGCTACAGGGGGCACAAGGGGCTTTGAGTGCCTACATATTAAAGGACTTAAGATAAACAATATGCCACATATCCAAAAATGCAACCAATTATGCTGGCTAAACAGACGCTGTGACACCTCCTCCTCAGATGGGCATAACATCCTCCTTTACCAAGTGCTCACCTAGGTAAAGTCAACATCATTAAGACATTTATTTGATCATGGGACTGCCTGGAATCCTACATCCTACAAGAATGTGCTCCTATATGTTCAAGAGGCATATTTTCCATATATCTGGGATTTTCATCCTTCAAAGGATCCAAAAATGAGTAATGTCACCCCTTCTTAGTTGAAGAGAACTGAGTCCTCGTGTTTTTAAATATTAATTTTGTGTTATTGGATTTGGAAGAAGGTTAATAGAAGGTAAATAGGGCAATTTTAATGATGGAAGTCCTGTCTTAAGTTGGTGAAAAAATTTAAAACATAGAAGTAAACTTAAAAACAGAACAAAATGCAAGTGTAAAAGTAGAAATTTGCTCTGATATATACTGTAATGAAAAAAAGTATGTTATAAAATGCATAAATTGACATAAAAGGAGAAAATTAAACAAATTATAAAAAATAATAAATGGAACATGAAATCCAGGTTTAGGAAATGGAAGATCACTAGAAGTAAAACTAGAATTTTTGGAAGTGGAAACTCCTCGTAGTAGGCACAGCAGGTTTACATATCCAGGAACTCAGTGCAGAGATCTTACTAGATGTGTGAAGTTTTCAGAGGATGTAACTCCCTATTATCTACCAAACACTGAATGTCAGTTTTTGGTAGACTGCCCTTTAGCTAGTCAGTCATAAAATGATGGTAAGACAGGGGGACAAAGGTCGGAATTCAGATCATGTGACCACTGCGATTGGAAGTCACAGCATTTACATGATTGGGAAGTTCTCACCCACAAGTATACATCGGGAGCTTTCTGGTAATCATTGGTTACTGTGCTGGGAGCAATAAAGCCCACACGGGGAGAGGCTGCATATATGTGTATGGCCATCGAGAAGAGGTTATTAAAGTGATTGAATAATTAATAATCCCTTCTCCCTAATGCCCGCTTACTTAAAATTGATCAGAATCATCAACTTTGTCCAGTTATTAGGGAAATAATCCAGGAAGTAATAAAGGTGAAACGGGAAGCAATGGGGTAAATTTTCAGGCATTGCAGTAGGGCAGAGCTGAGAAGATTAGCTGAACAGAACCACAAATACCTTGGCAGGTAAAGCTGTAAACATACTGTACATGTATTACAATGAAGTATGAAGCTGTATTCCCAGACTAACAATTTCTGCACAAAAACATGATCACTACTTCTTGTCCAGAAGAAACAATAGAAAAATACCATCACTTGTCTTTTATTTCATGACTACTCATGGAGCTTTACATTTGATCAGAAAAAACTTTATATTGTATTTTGTTGTACTTATTGTTAATCTGTCTTTTCTTTTGACTCTCTACGAGACACAATGTATAGGTTATTACCATGACATCATAACTTATCAGAAACAAGCTGCTGCACAAATAGCACATAAAACTAAATTAACTGCACACATAAGCATTTAAAAA